ATAGGTAATACAAGCAGCTTTCTCTATGCCTATGGGTATACATGTGTGTGCACAGTGTGTGTTAGCGCATCTCAGTCCACAAAACACAAATATTGATCCATTTCTCAGCAGTCCAAAGACATTTCCGTGGTCATGTGGCTGGCATGACTAAACACCAAGGCGCACGGAACGCTGTTACCTTCCCATTGAAGTGGTACCTATTTATCTACTTGCAATTTCTTGCTTTCGAACTGCTAGGTTGGCAGGAGTAGTAGTAATTATCACAGCTTAAACAGTAGGAATATTTAAGGTGAGATTTGTCATAATGATCACTTGTTTAAAGTAGTCAGTCTGGAAATATGTCCTCTTTTTTGCATTTCAGAATATGGGTTAATGGGTATGCAGCCACAATACAGAAAAGGTTGTACTGGTTTTCTACATAGCTATCCTGATTTGCACTGACCTTTCTTCATATATGTGATCATATGCCAAACTATGTGGTATAAATTGACCGAGTGAATCAAACTCTTTTTCTTGAAGCTTGTTTTACAGCAGTGGTACACACTCTTAGATTGCGAAGAGCCACATTCGCGATTCTCATCAACCAGAGAAGCACGAACAATAATTATATACAACTATAATATAACTCTTTTAATTACCAGAATATCTGTGAGCATGGAGTGTTAGTGCTTCAGTGCTTGGATTCTTGCATACAGCAGCATAATGTATGCATAGAATTCTGTGCAAAGAACTCTATGTATTGGCTTGCATGGTTGGTGTAGGGTTGGGAGCTTGCTAAAGCTAGTTTAGAAGGGAGGCACTCTGACTTCAAAATGTTTGAGAAGTATTGTTTAACCTTGATGTGGTCAAAGTTCCATCCAGTCTGCCCTCACAGGTCAGAAGCTAAGTACAGCAACGCTCTATGATGTGCTATGGTAAATGTGTAAAGGATGTCTTGCATTCATAAATACTTGGGGTAGGGTTGCCAGGTCTCCCCTGTCCTCTAGCGGGGGGTGGGTGGGGTAGGGTGGCCAGATCCATGCAGGGAAACTGCTGGAGGTTTGGGGATGGAGCCTGGGGGGGACAGGGACCCCGGTGGGATACAATGCCGTGGAGTCCACCCTCCAGAGCATCCATTTGCTCCAAGGAAACTGATCTCTGTAGTGTAGTCTGGAGATAAGCTGTAATTCCAGGGGATCCCCAGGTCCCACCTGGAGGCTGGCATCCCTAACTTGGGGGGCCTATACCAGTTGCAACTTGTAACATTTTCATTCATTCAGTTTACAAAAAAGCTTACATTTGATAAAATTACTTTTTCACATGATGCTACGGAATAGCACTCCCTGCTTCATAGTCTCACAAGCAGATAAGGTAATTGGCCTAAACTGGCTTACTCAGGTTCCTGTAAATTTGTTTGCTTTGTATTTCTGAAGGTGTATTTTTGTCTGACTCAGTTCCAGATGGGGTTGCCAGTCTCCAGACTGCATCTGGAGATCCCCTGGAATTAAAGGTCATTTGCAAACTACAGAGATCCGTTTCCCTGGTGAAAATGGATACTTTGGAGGGTGGACTCTATGGATTTGTACCACACCAGGGTCCCTATCCTCCCTTGGCTCCATTCCCAGATCTCCAGGATCTGGCCAGAATGTTACCGCTGCCTCTCTGTTTCCCAGAAAAGTCCTTTTATTTTGCCAATGTTGCATTTGCATAACCTGGGAACACCTGCCTGTGTTCTCAGGCTGTTAACATGTGATGTTAGAAGCAGCTCCTGTTTTATCCTAAGAAATTATTCAGAATGCCAGCTGCAACAAACACATTTTTCAGGCTTTTGAATACAATGAGTATATATAATTTTACCAGCACAGAATATATTTTGCAAGAATTTCACAGGGGTTACACAAGTTTAGCCTCACCCATTATAATTTTTTAAATAAATATAATAGGTGCTATCTTGTTCCAGAAGGCAGGATAGGTTTATATGCATGTTCACTTAGAAGGGTTGAGAAAGTGGTGTTCCAGGGTAGAGAAGGTGCCTGTGTTGGTCCTTGGTTGCATAGCTGTTCTCTAGAAAAATGCACTTGCAGAAAGAAAAATATTTGTGTGTTGGTTGTATAAGAACCACATTTCCAAGGACAAGACATGCCCTCGATGTTGCAATAGGGAGAGAGAGACCATTTCTGAGTTCTCTCTTCATGCCTCAGGGCATCTGGCACAAAAAACATGTGAATTGAGTAACACAGGAAAGGAGGTGGAGAAAGGGCTGGCAGTAGGTTATGAAATCCTTTTACCTTTAGGCCATCAGTTTGGATGTAGAATGAGCTAACCAGACTATTAGCATATGAAGGAATAACTTGCAAAGTTCTGTTGGAATGGGAAGCATGTTACAAAAGAGAAAACCTGTTGTAAAAAGGTGGTGAATCTGAGCAAATCCTGTTCTAAGGTGGTGGATAAATCTGCTTTCATAGGCGTATCTAGATGTGCCCTGAAGCTGGTTGGCAGCAAGGCCATGTGTAGGAATTTATCCTGTTTCAGAAGGTTTGAATCTCTAGAGAGCAGCTAACAGCACTAATGAAAATAAATAACTGTGCCACCCATCCCTAAAGGCCTTTTGGAGGCCTGACAAAAAAGATATTCAGTTACTGTAACTAAAAACAGAAGAGTCAGTCTTAATTTCAATAAAATAACTAAGTTAATGGTGTTTAAAAAGTACATGGTTACAGTAAAAAAACCCATGAGACAGCAGGAGCGCTGACAACACTGGAGCAACACTGAGGTTGAATTAGTTTTAGGGAATGCAGTTTCATCCTCAATCTTCAATGCAGCTCCACATGGAGACTGTGCATGAGCAGGCCTGTCATTGGAGAGGTCTTTTACAGCCAAAATCCTCCAGGGGGCACTACATGCTGGAGCCAGTAGCTTGTTCTCACCCAGGGACCACGTACTCCTGCACAGCAGCACCCCCTTACCCACAGTTTCTCTTTTGCTGCCGAAGGAGAAGGGTGTGTTTTTGGAGCCTTCAGCTACAGCCAGTTATGTTGAAGCTTCATTGGCTTCTGAGTCCTTTCCATGGCTCAGAAGGCCTTTTTCAATAAGTACTCCTGATGTGGAACAAAGATGACCAAAACTGATGAACAAGACCTTTGTACTGTTTGGGTGAAGGGCGTAGTGCCTCCACAATAATGCCTGCCTGCCAACATTTCACTCCTAAAGCTCGGGGGGATAGGACATTGAAACTTAAGGCAGCATTGTGAGAGAAAGCCCTTAAAGCCTCGGAGCCCTCATGGAAGTCGGCCCCAGAGAAAGCCCCCAATTCTGCATCTTTGGAATTGATGTCTTCAGCTCCACCTCCCAGATCCGCGTCTCAGTGAATCCAATCTTGATCACACCCCCCTCAGGCTCATCATGTCTCTTCTAGGATTTTAGCTCCATCTGTAGTTAATGTAGGTAAAAGGTAAAGGTAAAGGTTCCCTTGCTCGAAAGCCAGTCGAATCCTACTCTAGGGTTGCGGTGTTCATCTCCGTTTCAAAGTTCTTTCCTGGAAGGGTAATTCTTTGCCCTAGTCCTAGGTTTCATCCTAAGGAAGTTTCTCGGTTCCATTTATATCAAGATATTGTTTTGCCCGTATTTTTTCTTGCACCGAGCTCTGAGAATAGCTATATGTAAGTGCAGCTTTGTTTTGCACCTGAATTAGAAAGCTTAGTCTTCCCATATTAACATGTCATAATTTTGGAGAGAGCACATGACTTCTTTTGATCTAGAGCCTCTTACAGAAGTGGAACAAGAGATTGCTGTTGTTCTTGGGACCACTAGGCTCATACAATTAAAGGAGTGTGGCATTTTAGACTCTAAGCCTAGGGTAGGCACTGTCTGTTTTGTTTATGTAGTCCTATAAAGCATCATGCATATTGGCACAACTGTGTGGATCTTTGTTAACCTTTGTTAGCCTTGGTATCCTCAAATATTTCTAATAATAATTTTTTTTTTGAACCCCCCCCCCCCCCAAAAAAAACCCTGGTAGTACCTAATTCCATAATCTCCCTATGATTTCCCCTATCCTTGTAAATAAGGATGGCTTTTAATCAGCCCAAGTATCTCTTTCCTTGAAATGGGTTTCATGGGAGAAATCCACATGCCAGCTGACTATATTAATTGCATCTGGCTACCTTGTCATTACTTGGCTGATGGGGGCTCAGTAAATCGGTTTGAGTTATTATATGGGCCGGTGTGACAAAGTGGACAATTAACTGGGTTTGTGCATAGTCAAAGTAATATTTAGGATTATTTTGTTGATACTAGTGTTCCCTCTAAGCTGAGTTAGAGTGAGCTAGCTCACAGTTTTTTAGCCTCCAGCTCACACATATTTGTCCCAGCTCAGGAAGGATGGCTCCAGAGCAAACTAATGTATGCAGTAGCCAAATCGCTCGCTCACAACTTTAATCCCAGTAGCTCACAAAGTAGAATTTTTGCTCACAAGACTTCACAGCGTAGAAGGAACATTGGTTGACACATATTCAAGAATGCAAATCTCTTCACTCATCCATGAATTTAATTGGCTAGCCATAGACATGTCACTGTTTCTAGGATTAATATTGTTTATATAGTTGCTTTTGAGAATGAATAAGAGTTCTGAAACCATTTTTATGCAGGAAATAGTTTACATAAATATTTTACACTGAAATTTATGCAAAAATATTTATGTATGTGCACATGCCAGATGGAGACCTTAGGCGGCCAACTGGGGCCCAAATGCCATGAAGGTAATGGTGGAATAGGGCCTGCAGATCAGAGCAGGACTGTTCTACCACTTGGTAGGTTACTACCACACGAAATATGTTTATCAGCATCAAGGCATCTACTCTTGATACTTAGCGGTATGTTTCTAGATTGAGTTTTGTGTGGTTTCCAGTTCTGAAAAATGTTTGTGTGTAAGAGACAGAGAAGGAAATAGTAACTAGAGGATGGAAATTGCCTAAGACTTGATTTCAATGTGTTGGTGTTTCATTTCTTCTTTATCTTTTTAGGTGACCTTGGAGAAGGTATTGGGAGTCACTGTATCAGGAGGCAGAGGACTGGCCTGTGACCCCAAAAGTGGTCTTGTTGCATATCCAGCAGGGTGAGTCATTAAGGGCGTTTGTAAATTATTTCGTGCTGTCAGCCTAAAGGTACAGTTTATGCCAAATGTAGAGGAGTGATGAATTTTATAGGAGTCTAATAACTCTTTCCAATTATGGTGAATGTTGGCTGTGTTGGTTTAAATCATTTCTAGAAGGAACACTCTTTACCTGTCAAGGTTAATGAAATTCTGCTCTGTGGTTCCTTCTTCTCTGCCTCCTGCTCTCAGCTAAGCATTAATTCTACTGCATTTTTATAGCTGGATTCCATAGTATGATTGGACATAAAAATGAAGTTAATTTCAAACTCACAGTGGTGTAGAAGCTGCCCCATAAGAATATCAAGTAGCCTTATGGTTCATGGTCCAGCTTCCACTTGTTTGAAAAGGAACACGACTTTACATCAAAGTTGTGGTCCTCTCTAGCTTTCCTTAGCAGAACCAAACCAATCATTAGGTCACAGAGCCAGATTTAGTGGGGGAGCCTGTTGGAGCTACTCTGGAAGTAAATAATAGTAAGCAAACAAAGTTGGCTTGTTCCCTGTAAGTGTCATGAGAAGATTTTCGCCACACCTTCTTTAAGAACTGTTGAATGCTCCCTGTGCTGTGATCTATGAGAGAATCTTCTCTCTGGGTGTATTTACATTAGTAGAAATTGAGATACTTATTGCATCATGGAGACATGTCCCACTAGCCTTTCTCATCCACACTCTCAAGGTCTCCAGAATAAGAATGAGTGTGGAACCAAGCAACCTTCAGCAGTGTTCTGTTCCTTGCAGTCATCCTGGGTGAATAAAATGGAAAGGCAGAATTTCACATAGGAGGAGGACAGGCTCGCTATTTCCTGTGAACCAAGAGAATCTCTTCCTTGTGAATCTTATTCCCATGAACATATTGGATTGTGCACCTCCATAAGAATAAGGGGCACAGGTCTAAATTGAAAAATGCAGACAGGCGTCCAGGGAAATCTGACTATTTAGGTGTAGCTAAAATTTCAAGACAGTTATTTACTATCTTTTGTGTAGTGTAGCTAACTGAATGAGAATTTGATCCACTGCCAGAAGGGACAGTGATTCTGGAACTGGGCCACTAGCATTAGTTTTTGTTAGTATATGTAGATGGCTATAATTAATCTGCACTCTGAAGAAAAGAAACTGAGGCCCCAGTCACACGGGCCGGATATTGCAGGGGGGGGGGAGGCGTGGCTGTTTGCCCCACAGGGAAATAACGCATGACTGTGCGATCAGGCGTCCCCTCGCGGTCCCATCGAGGTCCTGTAGTTAGGGGGGAGGTGCCGATCACACGATGTGCCAAAGAAGCAGCGCGGCATGGCAAACGGGGTTGTGTTTTGTTTTTTTTAACCTGAAGTATGCACATGCCACGTTGGGTGCTTGTGTGCATCCCTGGAGACTTCGGGGGAAAAAAACCTTTTCGCAATGGGGCATGGGCGGGCGCCGGATGCCACCAGAAACGCGATCAGACGCCCGCCCTTGCCCCACGGTTTCCGGAAACTAGTACCTCCGAGGTACTAGTTTTTTGCTGCGCATCTTCGGCGGGAAGCCTCGGTTGAGCCACGGGAGCTCTACACTTCCCAGATGTGGCGGTGAGATCGCGCCTGGAAAATCCGCCTATCTTCCGTCTCTCTAGTGTGGCTAATGCTCCGTGTGACCGGGGCCTGATTCTGGTTTTAGCTGCAGTTTTGATAACAGTGCTACTACTGGGGGTGGGTGGGTTTGCCATGTGCCCATTGGCACTCCAGCAGCCACTAAAAGATAAAAGAAGAAGAAAAAAGGGCAATGACATGACATCAGGTTTGGGAACAATTGGAAGCGATGCCAGTCCTCTCTAGGAATCGTGAAAAACTGTATGGTTTTTCTAGCAATTCCTACAGAGGTGTAGCATCACTTCTGGGTTTTCCCAGAAGTGACATCTGTTTGTTGCTGATGGCTGCCTGCCATGTCCCTGCCCACCCAGTCTCTCATTGGCTGCCAAGCTGGGTCTGGCAACCCTAGGTGTGGAGGAGAGGATAGTTCTGACTTTTTTCATTGTTGAGCTTGCTATGTGAACAGTTTTGAAGCCAGCCTGACAAGGGTTTCATTGTTGTTTGAAGCTTATGTTCAGATTCTTGGTAATTTTTTTTTTAATTGGCACGCATTAAAATTAAATACTGTAAGAGTCACTCAGATGCTGGTAGCCCCAAAAGGAATCTCCTCAGAAGCCAGGATCTAGAGTCTGTTGGATGAATTTGTTCCTGATAAATTTTAGGTTCTATCTATCACAGCTCAATGGGCTCTTTAAAAAGTTTTATCTGCCATTAAAACCCGGATTTGTCCTTGAAATGCTGATGTTTGCAATTTTGCCTTAAATTTCCATGGAGTTCCTCAGGTGAAACCTCTGTAGATAGTTTGTGGGAGCTGAGGAATTCCAACTAGGTTGAAAGAACTTTGATAAGATTTGCTGGTGTTCTTGACTGTACTTGCATTTCCAAAGAGAGGGAAGCCAATTACCTTTTGTTTTAAAGTGAAATCTGGTGTCCCTTGCTGTTATCTTGGGAGTAGTGGGTAACTGGCATGTTTCTGCTGCAGAGCTCTTTCATTTGGATGGGTTTGATATGTAGTGATATGGAATGCTGCCCTCACTGAATTCTTTTCTGTGATATAACTCTGCTTTCAGACTATGTATTACTGCTTATTCCCTGAAAACAATATATTTTGGGGTGTAATGAAAAAGTGCAATTTTCCTAATCCTTATTGTGTCTTCATCAAAGGTTGATTTTGAATTTTATTTGCATGCATCTAGAATGCCACATGCTGCAGTCGAAATGTAGTGTCTTCACTGTTAGAAGACAAGGTTTAAAGCAAGTGATGTCTCCTTTCACTTGTCTGTTGGTGGGCACATGTGAGGAAATGTGTGCAAAGTGCCTGCCTGAATAAACTGCTTATGTGTTACACTTAGCTATTTTGTGAAGCGTATACAATTTGCCACTGTCAAGGAATTGCTTTGTGTTCAAGTTTATGCTTGTGCTTGTTATAGGCTCCAAACACACAAGAGAAACAGTTTTCAAGCCTAATTGGGTTGCGAGGTCAGTTTGTTTTATTATCTTGTTGTAAGGGGATGTATACTTCCTTGGCAGAGTGCAAAAAAGCTTGGCATAGCTATTTTGCTGGCTTTTTTGGATTTTCATTCTGAACCTTTTTTTCCCCTTTGGCAGAGAGGAGTAGAACTTGCTGAATGCTGAATTGATGTGCATTTTGCTGGCTTGGGTAGTGCAAAATGTGCTTGGCTCGGCATGGCTGCCTTCCATGCAGCTCTTACATCTGCTTCAGTTCTAGTCAGCTCCATTTCCAGATACTCAACATTTATTTAAAACCGCTAATACAGGGCAGTCCTGAGGTTTAACTCCTCTGCTGTGCCAGCCTAAGGGCCTAAGTTATGAAGCAGGTTTCTTTCTGTGAAATGGTTTGAAATCATCAGACTTAAATAACATCAGCTGATCTGAACAGGCCCCAAATTCTTAAAATTCATATAAGAATCACACCAAAATGATGTTGTTTAATTTTTATTTTCTCTTTGTCTTGAATTGAAGATTAAAGTTGTGTCCCATTTCCCAAACCTTTTTGCCTCTGTTTCACATTGAAGATGTTAGACCAAATTTTAATACAAAATACAGAAATACATGTGTAAGTTTGGGCTCTTCTTACTCAATTATCAAATACAAAGTGGACAGTAAAAGGGTTTGCATATGTAGTTATAAACTGTACCAAGAAATTTCCTCCAGACATGTTAGGGCTAGACAGTCTGCCCCCCTGTTTGAGCTTGACATATAGGTGTCCCTATAGAGCATTGGTCCCTGACCTTTTGGAGCCTGCGGCCACCTTTGGAATTCTGACACAGGGCGGTGGGCACAACTACAAAATGGCTGCTGCAGAGGATGGAGCCAACCACAACATGTCATGGAGTGAGGTTTTGCATAACTCTAATAGGCCCCGGTTATACGGACCGGAAAATGCGGGGGGTCGGATTCGACTGGCTTTCGAGCAAGGGAACCTTTACCTTTTATAGAGCATTGGTCCCTGACCTTTTGGAGCCTGTGGGCACCTTTGGAATTCTGACACAGGGCGGTGGGCACAGCTACAAAATGGCTGCTGCAGAAGATGGAGCCAACCACAAAATGTCATGGAGTGAGGTTTTGCATAACTCTAATTGTAACTCTTCAACTTTCAAGTAGAGGCTCTGCTTAACATGTTGTTCATTTTCTTGCTTACACATAGCTTGCCTTCAGTTACACAGTGAAGAACCTTGTGCTGTGGTGGCAGCTATTGCTGAAGAACTTTTTAAAAAATCTGCACAGAAAATCAGATCTTCAGTGGCCTGTCAGAATCCTTGCTGGGCAAACATGGCAGGCATCAGGAAAGGTGTCAGCAATCACCACAGCACCCATGTATACAGTATACCCCAGTACACAGTATCTGAATCTTTAATTTAAGTTGACATCTTTGCTTTGTTTTAAGTAGTTCATAGTATTTCATGGTAGAGGGATATGTTACTTGGCATATAACACATTCAGAGGATCCAGTTAGAAGAATTTAGGATTGCCAGGTCTCAGTGGTTTGAGGGACCAAGGGCTTGTGGTGGAGCATTTGATTTACATGCAGAAGGTATCCCAGTTCCAGTTCCAGATATTTCCAGATAAAAGGATCAAGTAGTAGGTGATGTGAAAGACAGTACCACTTCCAGTCAAAATAGACAATGGTGACCTTGTTATACCGGTGATCTTACCTGATATAATGGAACATTGTACACTCAGTAGTTTTAGCCTTTCTTTCAGGTCTCAAAAGAGAAGGAATGGTTGAGGGTGCAAAGCCAAGAAGATGAGGTATTTGCTCTTGCTACTAGCTCCACCCTAGGCAGAACTTCACAAAAACTTACTATCCTGGGAGTGCCTCTTATTTGGGCTTTTTGGAAAACTTGTTCCAGTTCCTCTGGAATAGCTGCATTTCTAC